TCGAATCTCTGAATTAACAATTTTATCGTTCGAGTCTCTCATGCAGAGACTGTGAGAGATCCATAAAAACACCTAGGCAATAACTGAGAGACTGTAAAGGACTGTGAGAGACGCTTTCAGAGACTCTGGAAGACTGAAAATTTTTATATAGGGTTGTTAATAGGTAGCGGTATAATGTAGCATGTTTGAATGGTGGTGTACACTCATAGCTACAGAGACACCTTGTAGTAAATTGCCAATTGTGAGAACATTATTAAATTGTGGGAATCCCGTGGTGCTTAGAAAATAAAAAGTTACTGTGATAATAGTAATAAGGGACTTGAATATAATTCGAAATGCATGTGCCTTTTGTGACACATCGATTCATTGAATGTTACGGATTTTATTATAATTGTTGTTTTCGTGCAATATGCCACACGTGGGTGTGCGAGGGAGAATATGGTGCGATGTTCGTTGTGTAATCGGACGTATAGGTACATTACGAATGTGAGTTAAATCGAGTTGAGAAAGTGCCGAAAAAAAAATAGACGAAATGTTAAAACACGCCCTTCGGAATACATCAAACCCGGATCTTACGATTACCAGGAGGTCGTGTGCGGCGCTATGTTATCGGCGTCATTGTCGACGTCGTCCTTGCAGTCTCCTTGTGCCAGGCGGTGGAGTTTGCTGCGATGGGATTAACAAATATGCTGTTGTTAAAAAGGACAAAAGGACGAAAAGGAGTTCGATTTTATCCTGGCCATGTTCCGTTGTTCAGAGTCAGGTAGTCGTCAATTTATTATTGCAGATTTCTTCGCTAAATAACATGCAATCGCTATTGGAACGAAGTTTTTTATCCCACTTCAGGGCGACAAGGAGTTAACCGGCAAAAGTCAGAGTTGTCAGACGAATGTGTTTTTATGTCCTACTTTATCATCATCGTAAGGTCGTCAGTCCTAAGACTGGTTGGACATGCACATCCACTCTTTCCTATCCTGAGCTAATTTTCGCATTTCCCTAAAATTAGAACATCCCACGTCCTTAACTATTTGCGAACAGTAATCTAATCTACCCCTTCTAACCCCCGTTTCTGCCTCTAATATGTCTCTGACTAGACCTTCATGCATGAGAAGGTGTCCTACCAACCTACCTTGCCTATTTCTTATTGACTTCCATAGAGTCCTCTGTTCTCCTATTCTTTCTAATATCTCTTCATTTCTAACCTTTTCTACCCACGATATCCTCATCATCCGCCTATAACACCACATTTCGACCGTTTGTAACCTTTTCCGCCGCGCCCACTGTCCATGTCTCGCATCCATACAACACCGTGCTCCAAACACCTTTAACAACGTTTCTCGAATTTCTAAATTAACCGTTCGCGAACATAGAAGTGACTTCTTTTTATTGAAGGCATTATCCTCTGCTATATATCCCTACTACTCCTTCCGTCCTGACTTATCTGACTTCCTACATACCGAAAATTAGCGACTTCTTCTAATTTTTCGTCTCCTAGCTTTATATTCGCTCTTTCCCTACTTTTTCTTCCCTTGCATACCAGTATTTTTGTTTTACTTATACGGGAAATGCCTAGGTCTGGCAATACTGGACAAAAATCGAATGTGTTAGCGGATATCTCTCTCCCATGTACTTATTGCTTGCAGAGAGTGAGAGAGGGACGAGGTAGATTTGATTAGTCTGCCATCTGGTGAATATATCCTTTAAGAGTCACTTTAAAAAGCTTCCGAAGTTAATAATCTATTAATTAGCAACCGACAGTAATAAAATTGCCATTTTGAAATATTGTCAGTAAACAGTGCTTACGGAATGCATCTGTTACATGCAGATATGTGATTTATTTAAAATATCTTTCCAAACGTATTTTCTATTTGTAAAATGCAAAATATATTTTGCTGTTAAAAATTTTACTATTTCACCGATCAAACATTATAAGAAATGATGAATGAAAGTTGGTCACATTGGCTTTTGATGATGTAATTAGAAGCTTAAAAAGGGAAAAAAGAGACAGAGTCCCAAAAATTCTAAACTCCTGGGAAATGGATAATCTAAAATATCGGATCGATATTGTTTTCCGGGTTCAATGTGATGGCCCATGCAATTTTAAAGTTCCAAATTGATATCAGCACCTGTCAAATCACCCCTATCGTAATTACGACAAAACAGCCCCTCAAAAGAATATCGAATTGATATACGTCAGCTAAGTAAAATTGAAAACTGCGAGATATTATGGTTTGCTAATAAATGCGTATAATCCAAAATTCTTAGAAACACAAATAAAAAAGTATTTGCATTTTGTGTTTAAATGCTTTTTAACAACTATTTTGGACATCTCCAGTTAGATACTTGTCAGCTTTTTTCTAATACCGACTGTCTCTTCATAATACTAAAAAGAATACTTCGTTAAAAAACAAAGGGATAGAGTTTTATTGGTAAGGACCATGTAGATTGTAGATCCTTTTTGCTATGCAAAGTTTTGAATTTTGTTGAATTGATTTGTATAAATAGTTATTCCTGATCAGTGTACATACATATCTGTGGATTGTAACATCAGTACAAAAGTTAAAAGTACATTTATTTAATTTTTTGAAAAGATATCACACGGAAATCGGTTGTGAAAGGGAAGCTTCGATAATTTTTCTAGGAATTGTTTCCAAGAGATAATTGATATACGCTGTGGTTTTTATAATCGCCGATTGACAATAATAACGCAGAAACAAGGTCGTTTGTTTTTTAATGCATTCATTTACATTTTTACAATCATTGCAATTTTCATAAGCATACATAAAAACATACACATTCTGAAGATAGAAAGGTGATAATATTTTAACAAGGTGAGACAGTCGCCATATGGTTCTTGAACAAAATATTGTAATCGAAGATCAGTTTTGGTTTATTGTACGAATTGTTCGGAATTATTGATTTTATTCATAGATTTCGAAAACATTTATACTTAATTTAAGTCGTTGTCGAATAATTTATTTAATATAATCGGTTGTTTTACCTACATATTTCCCCTGAATTGAATAAAACGAAATTAATGATCTAATATATTTGTCATAAACATTAAGGATATAAAAATAGGAGACGAAAAATTAGAAGATCTGGCAGTTTTTCAGTATTTAGGAAGTCAGATGACTCAAGATGGAAAAAGCAGTAGAGAAAAGGGATAAAGCTGCTTTTAACAAAAGGAAATCACTTCTATGTTCGCGAACGGTTAATTTAAAAATTCGAAAAAGATTGTTAAATCGTATGTCTGAACCACGGTGTTGTATGGGTGCGAAACGTGGACGGTGGGTGCGGCGGAAAAGAAAAGTTTAGAAGCGTTCGAAATGTGGATAGAGAAAGTTAAAAATGAAAAGGTATTAGAATGAGTAGGAAAACAGAGGGCGCTCTCAGACCTGAAGGGGTAGTTAGAGACCTATTAAAAGCATAAACAGGAACTAAGAGGAGAAGACGTAGACCTATATAAGATTACTGTTCACAAATTTTTAAGGATATGGGTTGTTCTGATTTTAGGGAAATGCGAAGATTTTATTAGCTTAGTATAGGAATCAGTGGAGGTGCTTGTCCAACCAGTTTTAGGATTGGCGACCTTATGATGACCGATCTTAGAAGGAAATCATATTTTGTATCTTCATCACTACAAATTTTCAATTTCAGTGTTGGCTAATTTTTCAGACAAATACTGTAATAAATTTTTAAGATAATAAGAACTGCGTTGATTCATTTCTTGAATAACAATTGAAAGAAGCTCCTAAATATTTATCTATGCATTAGCTGCCACCGTCCTTTCGCTATATATTTGAAAATGATCTTCCTGCTTTCCTTTTATATTTCCTTATGGCCTTCAGGCAGTTGTTTTGTATGGATATCATCGTATTTTGTCATCCGCACGGCGGAAAACCCCACATCACTCTAATGCCCATCCTTATTTCCTAACTCGGCTATTTTATTACTATAATGTGCCAATCTTTCACTTCTTCTATCAAATGTATTACGTACTTTCTCCGTTGGTTTATTCAGTTTGTTTTACAGCATAATAAATTAATGGATGGATAAGTAATAATTCTAAATATCACATCTCTTATATTTTTGGGCATCAAATTAAAGTGTGTCATGATTCACGAATTGTTAATGTTGATCTATCGCATTTCCAAATGTATTCAGTGAAATTAAATAACATTTAGTAAAGAGAAAATGTTTTTCAGAGGAAGAAAAAAGGGAATTGAATAGTAGAGTCTCATTAAAAGAAGCGAATAAAGTACTTGAGACCTTTAATATTATGTATACGTCTTACTTTCATTTCACTTTTATGTTTATTTATTCATGTTAGAAGGTGACTTCGTTTCCTTTCCAATTAAAAAGGTAATGATTACAATCTCTTTTTGCCATAAGAAGCGTCTGTCATCTTTTTGTATCATTCGTTGTCGCCTAAATCCGCGCCACCTACATAGGTATCTATCCATTAATAAATTATTCAGCAGCATCTGTTGAACTAGATTTAGAAACCTTTTATAGAAACGCGACATTGATTCAAACAGTTCCAATAACGGCGCTGTGCTGCGACAAAAAAAAAATGAGAAAAGCAAAAAACTTTCCGAGGGGGCGTATTCTACTCTTCAATTATTTTTCAATGAACGAAAACTCCGTTGGCGAAAATCGATACCAATTTACTTTTCATTAATTTAAATGGAAAAATCTACCTACAATAAGTATTAATAAATATATCTCCGATATAAAAAAAATCAGCATTACAATGATTCTAAAAATGTTTTATTGGGCAGCCATCGAATAAAATTTAATAAAGATGGTTATTATCCAAATGTATACAAAAATGGGACAAATTAATAATAATGAGCATTAATATGACTAAAAGCCTAAAAACCTACATAATGAAAATTGGTAATTGTAATTGTATTGGGATAGGTCTTTTGTCCTAATTTGTATCATTTATTGACTACGATACTAACTTATTAGTTGTTTCGATATAACAACCGAACTGTTACAATTTCTGTCTTTTGTTTGTATATCCGGTTTTGATTAACAATAATTTACTAGTATGATTTTGTTATCTTGGAACCTTTTAGTGTTTATAAACATTATAAGTTCGTTTCACTGGTTTTAACTCGAATCTTTTCCTTGAAAATCCTCTAACTAAGAATTAAAATTTCATTTGTTTAGTGTTTTGACGACTTTTTGAACGGGACGTTGGTGAGGATGGTACTTAATGAAAAGCCTGCCAGAAAAAAAAAACATAAACCATTAACCCTAGTGGTTTCTCGGATACCCAACACAGTTACTGCCGAGTACCCGGTTATCCGGCACTGTAACTAGCCTTTCATGTCTGAGAAGGCCTACCATCTCTTTCGTTAATGATTTTCATGGCGTTTTTTGTTTTTCTTCATTTCCTTCCACATTTGTAAATTTTCTTATCCGTGGTATGCATTTTCATCACTGCACTACCCTTAGTTTTATATCTCTACTGTTGTTATCTCATGTATTATCTGACTTCCTAGATATCAAATTTAGTCATACTTCTGTGTTTAATTTATTAAAACGATAAATAGATGAAGATCATTGATAATTAAAATAGGTAAGTAATAAAAAGACTGTTGAGGCTTAGATTAAAATTATAAATATTTAACAGAGGGTTACACCTAATTATTTAAAAACAGTTTTATAAGGATTTTGATCGTTTTTCCAAGAAATCGATTGTGATGGGAAGCGATTTTTGAAATATGTGTGTATGACATTTGTAATGAGTTTTATGAATGTTATACCTTATCATTAATCAAGTAGATGATGATAAGAACGACTTTCGATTGTTTCAGATCGACTATCCCGACATTGAACAAAATCATAGGTTGCAACAACAGTCTCCTATCATGGACCATTCTCAGTATCGAACTGCTAGCATGTATGACGACACTGTAAGTACCTGTCGCCTCTAGTTAGTTTACATTTTGCAATATAATTGTTGCGTGCACACCTGTGCAAAAAGCCAAGGCCTTCCTTCTTATCGAAATGAACCTGCAATATAAAATAATAATAATAGGTATGTGAACGGCAGATAGATACATACATACATACGTGTGTATAGTAAATGGTTTTGCATAATTTATACTTTCCCATCTATGTATCTACCACGAATGTATATGTATGGTTATCGTAAATACTAATAATACACATCGTTAAGTTACATTAATAACAAATAAATAAATAAAACATCAAATGTAAACATTTATCTTTGTTGTTTTAAATCTTCGATAGGTACTTTCATTCCAAGTTATTACTCTATTGTACTTATGTATTTAAAAAGATTGCTAAAATAGGCCAAAAATCGCCCGTTTTTTCGCACTCAAATTTTGTTTTATCAAAAAATACATACGATATATATATTTCAACGCAAAAATATATTTATTATTCAATATGATTCTAAAATAAATAAGGGTGGTTTTTGCGTGTGAATTTTCGATAGGTGAGGGGTTACAGTAGATATGTTTTACTTCTAGTATGGGTCAAGCCTGACAAGGCCTAGTCTTTATCACAAATGCAGTCGCGGTTCCCATTCTTCCGACACTAGCTCGGCTTATAGCGGTTCAGACACGATGGCATCAACTCATTCCGAATTTGACGGGGACGAACCCGATCTTACAGGACTCGAAGAGAGCGTCGTTGATAGCGACGAGGACGACGATCTGGCTGAAGGGATAGATGTGAGTTCCCGTTGTTTCTCCTTCGAATATTCAAAAGAAAATGTTTTATATGATCTTAAAATTTCAATAACTGTTTCTTTTGAGCATTCTTCTTTATATGGTGTGTAAACTTTTAGAGTTTGACCATAAGGGACAGGGTGCGAGATTGTTTGGAGAAGGACCCATCGGAAAGAACCGAGGACGATATAGAAGCCCTTCTAGAATTTACTCAACATTTAAAGGCATTTACGAACATGACATTGGCTGTGAGAAGGGCTCTATGCTCTGTGATGGTACGAATGTTGCAAAATGTCTTTTTTTCGTAGTTCTTAATGCCCATTTCCTGTGATCATTGTAGGTGTTCGCGGTTGTCGAAAAAGCAAATACGTTGGTAATGAATGATGGCGAAGAATTAGATTCGTGGTCGGTATTGGTAAACGGTTCAGTAGAGGTCGTTATAGAGGGTGAGGAACCTCGTACCCTTAACGTGGGAGATGCATTTGGCATTCTTCCCACGATGGAAAAACTATATCACAAGGGCGTAATGCGTACAAAAACTGACGATTGTCAGTTCGTGTGTATTACTCAAAGTGATTACTATCGCATTCAACATCAGGGTGAAGAAAACACCCGAAGACACGAAGTCGATGGTCAATTGGTTATGGTCACGGAACTTCGGGGTTCCGTGGATAGTAATCGACGAGGTCACGTAGTGATTAGGGGCACCCCAGAACGACTTATGTATCAGTTGATAGAAGAAAATTCTTTGACTGACTCTACTTATGTGGAAGATTTCCTTTTGACACATAGAACATTCATTTCGAGTCCTCTTCATGTCGCGAATCAGTTACTCGTTTGGCTCCAGGAGCCGGAAATAAGGGACAGAGTGACGCGGGTGGTTTTACTTTGGGTGAACAACCACTTTACGGACTTCGAAACAGATCCCGAAATGATCGAATTCCTCGAAACTTTCGAGCAAGGTCTTGAGAAAGAGAATATGGTGGACGAACTGAAACTTTTAAATATTTCGTGTGCGGCAAAAGCTCGCGTTCGAATCATCGTTTTAACCAGGCCGAGTCGCGACGAGCCCTTGAACTTCCAAATTCTGGGAGGTTACGAACGCAATTTTGGCATATTCGTATCTAAAGTGGATAAAAAATCGAAAGCAGAAGATGTAGGCTTGAAACGAGGCGATCAGATATTAGAAGTGAATGGCCAAAGCTTTGAACATGTGAGCCATGCACGAGCTTTAGAAATTCTTCGAGGAACAACCCACTTAAGCATCACTGTAAAATCGAATCTTTTGCATTTCAAAGAAATGCTCAATACGCCGGATAACTCACCGAGACCTCGGAGCAGAAAAGTGACAGAGATATCGAGGCTACAACCGGATCCTAGGGCGCGACTGTCCAGCGTGGAAGGGCTCATTGTTGGTATTGGTCCTCATGCTCCTTGTACAGAACCGATCACATTACACAGTCCCCAGAAAGATAGCAATGGTGGAAAGAGCTTTAAGGCGTTGGGAGCCAAAAGGAGGTTGCAGAAAGCACTCATGAAAATGATATCAAAAAATTTGATCAAGTAATTAAATTTCAACGTTGTGTCTAGGGGATGTTAGTTAATCATTCTATTTTATTTTTAGTACTGATATCGGAATCGATCAAGTGGATAGTGTTCCTCCTCCTGCTACTTTGGGAAGTAACCTGTACCATTCGCAGAGTAATCCGGACTTGATGTCTATGTGTTACGACGATTTAAGAGGCAGTGACTTTCCTGAACACATTCTAAAAGTGGGTTTTCTTTTTTGGCGAATTTGTATATCATTTTGTCAATAATTTGTTGCGTATAGGTTTACAGGCCAGACCAAAGCTACAGGTACCTGCTTATTCACAAGGAAACCACGGCACACGAGGTGGTGATGTTGGCCCTGCAAGAGTTTGGAATGACGGATCCGAGCAGTAATTTCAGTTTATGTGAAGTCTCGGTAACCGACAACCAGACGATCAAGCAACGTCGACTTCCAGACCAGTTACAAAACCTTGCCGAAAGGATCGGTCTCAGTAGTCGATACTACCTGAAGACGAACGGCGTTACCGAAACACTTGTACCTGACGAACTCGCGCCCGAATTGGTGCGCGAGAGCGCTGTCCATTTTCTGCAACTTAACGCCGTGGAAGTGGCCATTCAACTGACCTTACAAGTATGTTACAGTTAGGCTTCCGGTGTGCTCAACTAATAATTTATTACTTTGCCAGGACTTTAGCATATTTAGACAGATAGAACCGACCGAATATATAGACGACTTGTTCGAATTGAAGTCGAAGTATGGTACGCCGATGCTGGACCAATTTGCGGCGCTGGTCAACCGCGAAATGTTCTGGGTGGTTACCGAAGTGTGCAGCGAACACAATCCTGTGCGTAGGATGAAGATCATTAAGCAGTTCATCAAAGTGGCAAGTAAGTTATTTATTGTAGGAAACAAGTGGTCGGAACTCCTATTACGTCTATTTTTATGAGCGTTAATTGCAAGATCCGTGTCTTCTGGTTGTACCTTTTTCCTATTTTATTCACAGGGCAGTGTAAGGAATGCAAAAATTTCAATTCGATGTTTGCCATTATTAGCGGTTTGGGACATGGGGCCGTGTCTCGACTTAGACAAACGTGGGACAAACTTCCTGGGAAGTACCAGAGATTGTTTGCAGAATTGCAACAGCTAATGGACCCTTCGAGGAATATGAGCAAATACAGGCAACTTGTTAGTGCAGAGCAAAATCAACCTCCAATCGTAAGAAAAAGCATTTTATCTTTTTTTTTGTTACAGCAAATTAACGATAAATTCGTATCTATCCTTACAGATTCCATTTTATCCTGTGGTAAAGAAAGATCTGACATTTATACATCTAGGTAACGATTCTCGCGTTGAAAATCTCGTAAATTTTGAAAAACTCCGTATGATTGCAAAGGAAATAAAAGGTCTGAGTAATATGTGCAGTAGTCCTTACGATTTACTCACCATGTTGGAATTGGGTGGTCAACCTGCTAGTAACGCAATGGTCGCTCTTAATCAGATGACTACTGGTTCCTCGCAACATCATCCTCAGGGTAAGTTATTTTTGACGTGACAACGTCTTATAATTCGATGGAGCTGCACGCACGAAAAAACATGACTCATGCGGCGTTACCTCGCTCTGAGGCGCTCCATTTAAGGCTTGAAGTGCAAGCGAGAGCGTGGAACGAGCGACAAAGAGGCACAATCGCCCTCCGCGTTCGGCAGCGTTCGACATCTGTCTCTCTCCTACTCGAGTGAGCGATGCGTCCGCGTGGACAGCTGCTATACAATAATACATTTACATTTACCTCCTCTATATCCATACAAAATATCTATCAAACAAATAAAATTAAAATTTTCTTTTGAAAAATGAAACCATTCCATCAGTATTTTCTTATGACGTTGTCACGTTCAATTATCGTCAGTAAACCGACTTTACAGACAACCGATTTTTTTATTTTCCTTTTAATTCGTACCTTTTTAATCATGATGTCATTGTCACAACAGGTCAGGCAACTGTAAAGCGGCGGAAAAAGTCAGCTGCCGCCCCAAATCACAAGAAAATGTTCGAAGAATCTCAAATGGTTAGACGTGTCAAGGCCTATTTAAACAATCTACAGGTGGTGACAGACGAAACTAAGTTGCACGAGATGTCGCTGGAGTGCGAGGGTACAACCGGTGGGGGTGGCAGTGCCGCCACCGCTGTACCCATTACTCAAAGAGGTAAAAGGCACGCGTCACCCGCCCCTTCTACCACTAGTAGTACTAGTAGTACCAGCGACGAGAGAAAACCACCAACAGCCAAGTTCGGTAGGTAAATAACGTAATTTTAATGATTACGACTTTATTGTTTCAATTTTCTTTTCAAGCTGGGATGGTGGTAAATCGTAAATATTTTAATTTTTCAGGATCCGCTTCCCCCCAGGCAGTTCGAAAGTTGCTGGCCCTTTCTGAGCAGTCCAAGACCAGACCTCACCAGCCCAAACAGCCCCCAGTACCCTTGGGTTTTAATTTAGCCCAGCCGAGCCCTGTCGTTCGAAGAGCACCAAGTTCGACGGGTAAGTTTTTTAACTTTTAAAATTTTTGCGTTAGCGACAAAAATGAAAATTTGTTGTTCGACTATTTTTAATAATAGTTGCTGTTATATGACCTTTATTATAATAATAATTGCGGTAGCAACGATTTAATTTATTTATTTGATTTACGTTCTGATTGTGTTACAAATAATTGACTAGAATCAGGGGCGGATCGCGAATTTGTGGGGCCGTGAGCTAATACTACTTAGGGGCCAACATAATTACTTAACTAATTACCATTTTGTCAAGGAACTGTTGTCTATAGTGATGTATAGAAAAAAAATGACAATAAAATATTTTAACACAGTTCTAACAATAATAAAGTCGATGACGAGAAATCCCCCTTAGTAGTCGTACACGCGAAAAAAAAAACATCGACCGAAAACAACCGGGGAATTCCCGTAGATGCGCACACGGGTCGGTTGATCGTTTGCCAACCTTATGATCGGATTTGATCTTCATTTTAGATATTTTTTCTTTACAATATCGCCTATTGTATTTAATGGAGACTAAGGGGACTTTAGTATTCATGGGCCCCATGGGATGCACCCTAAATAGCTCTTAAGTAGATTCGCCTCTGACTAGAATGAGATAGTGGTATTTACGATACAATATTGATAAAAATGTCGAATATAACTATAAAATATACAATCGTATAAAAATAAGTTGAATAATTAAGAATAATTTATTTCTAAAGGAAAATAAATATTGACGTTAGTATTTATACGTTTTTGGATGAAAAAGAGTTTCTGAAAATGTTATTAATTAGGTGTTAAGTTATTTATGTTTATTGAATAATTTTTTGCCTTAGAGTAAATACGTGTTTTTTAAAATTAATGTGAAGCTTTTGTATGCACAAAATCTACCGATGATTTCCTAAAATTTGTACCTTTCTGGTCTAGACTTTTTTTTTATTGAATTGATAAAATTGGGTCTATGGTATTTTTCGGCACCACTATCGTTTTTTCCATTTACAGGCAGCTATTCGAGCTACGGTAGTTCAAGTAGTTGTGGCACGGGGGGTGGTCGTGTATTGCATGAGAGATCGCACTCTGACACCCCCACACCGCTGCCTTCTGTTGCCCTTTCAGCAGAAAGCAGCAGCGTTACTTCTCTTAGTAATTTACCTCTTAGGAAAACGCTCACTTCAGGTATGGCACAAATTTTTTCTACTTCTCATTTTTTTTTTCCTTTACTGCTGCATATTCTTTCGTACTTCTCTTTTGTTAGGCTTACCTCTTTTCCATTCTGTGTATGTTCACTCTAAAACACTAACTACATATAAATTTTACAAAAATCCTTTGTGAATACATTTTTAATTTATTGCTGTTAGGGTAATTGTTTATCGAAAAGTTAATAATTTTTGCTTTTCAATACTTTAAAATAAAAACGGTACAATTTTTAATACAGGGGGTCTAAAGTTATTTCTAAATTATGTGCTGCAGTACCTTTTGGCTGTGGAAATAATTACGTTGAAAATGCCAAATTAAAAAAATAATTACTGCAGATAAAAATATGAAACTTTCATATTTGTTGTACATATAATATAAATTTATTTTGACTAACAGTTAATTTTAATTAATTAACTAAGCAAAATTGTTGTGTAATTACGTATTCAGAGTGTAGTTTGTAAAGTAAAATTTTTTTATTACAGGACAGATTATGTCTACTAGAAGTACTGTTTAATTATTCAGTTGGAAACTTCTTCCTAAACAATATTTAAAAACGTTTATCCAAAACAAAAGACTGTTATGTACAAAAGCATCGCTTATTTATGTAAATTATTATTTATATTTATGTTAAACCTTTGTAGATTGCTCATGTAATAAACGTACTTTCTTTTAAGCGCTTTTTTTGATATAATTTATAATTTTGTTACACATTGCATATGTCTGTTATGTTATTTTTTAATGTTTGTGAAAGGTCTTAGTAGATTTGTAATGTGCCGTTAGTAAATTCAAATAGAAATAATGTTAATGGAAGAAACATATCATCGACTGAGGTCGATTTGGGGGGGGGACTCTCTTGGAATATATGCCTGTTCATGGCATTGATAGGAAACACTTCTAATGACCTTTTGGTATATGCAAACTACAGTGGTCTGTATGCTTGACTTGACAGTTTCACCAGATCCTAATTTATGGTGTACATTATCAATTAACATTTAAACTTCGTATTTTTTCTAGTACTTTTAAGTTTTAAAATAAGACATTTTAAGAATATTTTTGCATCTTTATGTTTATGGTGATCAATTGCCTGAAATTGAATTGTTAGAAACAGCTTACAAATTTTAAGAGCGTTTACTATTTGAGCTTGATAGCTGTGGTTCGGGATTCGTCAGGTAAACGAGGTGAGAGAGGTGGACATAGAGGGGGGGAGAACCAATTCTGGACTATAGCCATCAAGCTCGAAAATCGAACCCTTAGCTTTTTATTTCACGAATTGTTTTATTTTGCGATACATATACAGTGCCATGTAGTTCAGACTTAACATGGTGTCGCTATAAGAAATAAAGTTAGTAAGCCAAGGACTTAATAATAGTTTAATTAAATAAAATTTGCAACCAAAGACGTAAATACACTGCTTATTAATAATCATGTAAATGTTGTAAATTGTGTGACCCACAGGGACATATATGTCGATTGTATATTATATTGAAATTGTATTAAAACGTACTCTTACAATACACAGAATGGAAATTAAATAATTGAATTGAATATAAATGTGCGCAGTTTTGCAATGAATTCATTTTTCCAAAGCACCGCAGCTTTGTTATTATTTGATAAAAGTTTTCATCTTCTTTGTATTCTTTCTGTCTCTTTTTCTTGAGCATGTTCGTGAACGTAGGCATGTTTTTCTTTTTGGCACAGGCTCGGTGGCGTCTTCAGATTCGGGTCACAGCACAAACAGTTCAGGGGACGGTTCTGGAGGTTTAGCGCACGTGTATCAACCACGCTGTCCTCCCAGTCCACCCCCGAACAGTAGGCAACCTCCTCCCTCTGCTGTCAATGGTACGTATTTTCATATTGCACGTTGCTGTTTCCATATTTTTTTTAGATATATTTAAAATTATTCATGTTCAGTAATTTAAAAGTAATTGTACAAAAAAATTGGGTTTAAAAATTAATAAAATACATTTTATAAAAACCTTGGAAAAGGAAAGAAAATAGATAACAGAAGTTAAATTTCATGCAAGAAAAGTCACAAAAATATCTGCCTTCTCTAACACTTTCTTTTATAATAATAAGATGGATATTTCAAAGGCTGCTTATGCATATTTTTAATTTGGTTTTATGTGTACTCTAACTAACTTATAAACCAATTCCCAAAACATCATATTTATGTGCTGTGGCAGCTTTGCATTACTAAATGTCTGCATTGGTTTGCTTTAACATTTCCCCAAAATAACACATCTAATGATTTGCATGATTATAATCCATTTAAAAAGATAATTACTGTTTTGCTGTCTTTCCTTTAATAAGTGTGGTTGAAAGACGATCAAATGTGTTTTATATAACTGCTTGAGTTTAAAACATTTAATCAAGAGAAAAATACCCACATTAAATTAATCAAAAAGTTTTAAGGGTGGTGACTTGTTTACTTTACTTGCCCTATTTCATTATACATTTCATGCAATTTCAAAAATAATAACATTTAGGTACCGATTTACTACTCATAATAAAGTTACATTAGAATGCATGAATACTTCAGTAGTCTGAAATACCCAATAGAGGGCGACACGGTGCCTACACGTGGATATTATAACATTACTTGCTTCGTTATATATGTAAACGTTTTTATTGGAAGGAAATAACATTTATTATTTGTAATATGCCTTTTTAATTTCAATTGATTTCTATTTACAAATTTTTGTCATGCAATGGTATGAATACGCCTCAGATTTAAAATCTAAAATTACTTTTTACAAGTTTTATTAAAAAGAGTCTTGTATTTATTTAAATAGTAAAAATAACGCATATCCAATTATTAAATGTATACTACGTAGGTTATTCAAGTAATTTTAGAAATTTTAAAATGGGGTTGTAATAAATAAACAAATAAATACGTTGCACGTTTGTTATACATGTTTGGAAAATGTAAATAAACGTGTTTGTGACTGTATGTCTGTGGGTTAGGATGGTGTCTGCGTGCCGGGTCTATGCCCCCCTGTCCTCATGCTGTTGCCGTTTTGCCCCCTTTGCCTCATGCAATGTACAACGGTAAGTCCTTTATCTGCCTTGAGAGGATGCTTTTTGCAAATATTTTGTTACACTTTTCGATCGTCATCGATTGTTTATCTTCGTTTCATATGCTCTGTAAATATGTACAAAGTATCCAAAGAAGCTTAATTTATTTTATATATACAGTATGTCCATAATTGTTGGAGTATACTGTATACTAATTGTATATACAGACCTGTAGATTTGTTGTATATATGCCTTGAATTGTGCATTTTTGTCGTTTCTGACCGCTCTGCTAAACATTTCAATTATTTTACAGCTTAATTTCAAGTAGTAATAAAGTTTAATGTACCTACCAGAAAATTTATAATAATAGTTATCTTTTAGTGGAAATATTAAATAAAAAATTGCGGTTTTTGAATATAAAGGAGTAGTAATAGATACATTTGCTTAGATTAGTAGGTATCAGTTATTAATTTTATTGAATAGTATGCTACTTTTCTAATAAAATAATTTTGAAAATTACCAACATTTGAATATCGTTTTTGAAAGGTCCAAGCAGGCGACAGCCCCCTGCTTATAGTGTAGCTGCTCAAATGGCGCGGCTACATCGATTGGGGAGGGCACATTCTCATGAGGGAGTCACGCAGGGTTATTATTATCACACAGATCCCGATACTGATCAAGGTAAGTCGGTTTGTGTCTGGTTTTTGTTTTTTGGGCAACATCAAATGTGTCAATTTTATTGATTACAGATGATGAAGAGACGCAGGTATCTGCAGTTTGAATACAAAATTACCCTTTTCATCCAGTGATTTTTTTTCTTATTTTTTACCCTTTTTTTATCCGAGAAATGGGTTATTTTGAATATGAAAAATCAAATTTGTGATTGCTCGAGAAACTAAGAGAGGGGAATTTTTAGTTTTGACGCACAACATTATTGCGCAAAGAAATGATGTGTGACGTGTTTTTTTAGTTTTGGGGACCAAATTTTATTTGTTTAGTTTGAAAAAGAATGAACAAATTTTGGTAAAAGATTATCTCGCTTTGTATTAAAGTAAAAGAAGCTCTCGAATAATAATTAAGTATTTTGTTTTAATGCGTCATGAAGGGAAAACATTCAAACTGATTAGAAAATCAGATGGGTAAAATCCTAATTAAATCATTCCTGGAGTAGAAACGGGAGGTACAATTGTCAATGGAAAAAACAAATGACGGGTCTGCAATATATGTATTTGTAAGGACATTTCAGTCCAAGAAAAAGGTCATTCCATGTACATTATTATATATTACCTACTTTTTTGTTTTTTTTTTTTTGAATTTACGTAAGTTATAAAAGAATTGCGAGTGTACAATTTATTTATTTGATGATTGAAACCTATTCGTAAGTACTGTATGAAAGATTCGCTGTAACATACGTCGCTTTTTTGTGTAAGAAATGATGATATTATACAATAATAATAATAATGTAATTGTAAATGTAACATGACGTTTAGTCAGTCGATATTGCATGATGTGTATTTTTCTAAATTTAATCTACCAATACCCTGATATTGATTGTATCTACTGATTTGTGTGTATTCGAAATAATATACCATACAGTATTGTTTGTTAACACTCCAAATATCTACTGCATAAGGATATCCCAAAGTGTAGAGGAAGTTTAATATTAATAATTTTTGTTGGGATACACTGTATTTGTCTCGATACCTTTTTTTTATGATCTCCCGCAAGATTTGCCAGCCGAAAATAATCAAGAAAATATCTGTATCGATTTTATTCCCTTAAATAATTTTACTGATTAGTTTTTAACTGCAATTTTTTTCGTATAGCTTAGTTATGTGATCAAACTAGTCGCTCAAATTATGCAGAAGGTTTGTATTATTGTTTTAGCATATTGTGTTGTGCAAATGGAGGAACGAAAATATTTTTTTTTTTTGGTTTCTTGTTTTTTTTGCCTTCTGTAGTTTGATATTATTGTATCGTGAAAATTTGCTACGTATTTGCAAAAAATTAATATTTTTAATGTACTTTAATGTCTGTAAATTAGTGTAAAAACAAATATCCTGAATATAATTATTGAAAATAACTATTCAAATTGCTTTTTTCATCTGATTATTATGAATAAAATAATCAGATTGTTTCAAATTTCTTCAGTCTAGAAGAAACAAATGTAAGTGTAAGTTAATTTTTAATTTATTTCGTTGTGCTTCACAATATTATTTAATGTGTTAAATTTGCTGAAAGAAAGGCCGAAAGTCGGAAGAATCTTATCTGTTATGATGAAGTAAACACTTTTTTTATGTACATTACACGTACAACTCCATTGGTTAGAAAGGAAAGGCTTGTACTTGTTGGTTTTGCCAAGGTCAGTTGAAAAGAGATTGCCTTACCGATGAGTTTCTCTTTAAAATCGGTTAGAATATTTAAGTAATATTTACTATAAAAATAAAATTACTAAATCGGTTATAAATTTTAAAACAGTGATGTGCTTTGTAAGTGTAAAACTTATTGGTTGCATTTAAATAAAACAATTACAAGAGCCAAATAACTCGGTGCCATCCACAATAATGGTTCGTTGGATTTAATGATATGGAAAATAATTAATGTTCTGTTAAAAGGAAAACGTTTCAAGTTATCTAAGGTAAGTGTAATCTATTTTTAGTTTTTATACGACGTCATTGATTTATTAAAGTTTCGTTCCAAATCCTTAATTACCTTTATCAGAAGAATATTGAATAGAGATTTTAATTAACTAATCTATTCAATTTTAGGTTTGAAATTATTTAATTTAGCTAAAGTTTAATGGTAAATATTGCACAAATTAAGTTTCGGGAATTTGAAACTTTGTTTTTGAAAACGTTTATTAAAAACTAGAGATTACAGTCGACTTCATTATTAGAAGGATGAAAAGTAACTTAGTCTAAAAACAATTCTTTCTTTTCCTCTGCACATAAAAAATTAAAATACATAATACGTATATAAAAGAATGATGAGGCATTAGATTTAATGCAATACATAGAACATACGAGTAATATGATAGTACTCAATGCTTAGCGTGTGAAATATAGGTGAATATAACTCACAAATATATGTATATTTTAGAAGCTACAATTTATTACATAAATGTAACTTTTATTAATGTAAAAATACATAGAAAAATCGTTTAGAAAAATCTAATTGTCTGCCGGGTTTTACCCTGGTCCCACATAAATGGTTCTTTTATAAAAATCTCACAAGGGAAAAATAAAAAAACTCCTTAAAAAAGTTGTTGTCACCTGATGGTAAAGCCATGTGCTACGCAAACTTCTCTTAAACAACATCTGGACGTACTCTTTCCGTATTTTTTCTGCAATAAAAATATTTTTTCTGCAATAAAAATATGAGGTACGTACTATTTATTGTGGAACATGCTTAGCGAAAAATTGCGGTGACAGATTAAAATGCGACACGTGGTGTATAGCCCCTTAGAAAATATAATGATAACATTCCAAGATTTATAAAATTGAAAATTCAATGCCAGGGTTCGAATAAATGTGAACTTTACAAATGGATTCCCATAAAACCGTAGCAAGTAAATTATAAACATGATTATCGATTAATGGCAAAATTAAGTGGCCGAATATTATTTTTATTATTTATTACCGTAATGCTCGTAAACTTGGTGTTACTCATATTTTAAAGAATGTACTTGGCAGTTGGCGTGGAACGTATATACATGATTCAGGTTGTTGATTAAATCGTTGTTATGCATGTGCTTGGCAGTCGTATATCAAAAATGATAAAAAAAGAGAAGAAAATCAGTGGGCGCCTCCTGCGCTTGCATACGTTTATATTTTGTCTTTCTATGTTCAATTTGGTCCGGTATTTATAGCAAAAGTCCTAAAAATAAAACAGACATCGATGAGCTTTAATAAATTCTATTTTTAATGCATGTCCCTTTTTACTTTTACAAAATCAGTAAGAATCCCATTTCATTTGGCATATGCAATAATCAGTTACGATTAAATAAATAACAAAGTAGGAGCTATTTTCAGCATGTATAGGGTGTTCATATAGTTGATTAAATTCATCTATCTAATTACACAGCGTTTAGAACCTTGTTTCCATGTAAGACACTAGTGTAGGGAGCCGAGAAGGACACATTATATCTTGTAGGTGGGAATAAAAGTTTTGAAATACTTATTTTAAATTTTACTCATCTACAATATCATAAATGTAACAGTATTTAGACATATGCGCATAATTGAGTTCAATAAATATGAAAATTTTTGACGAAAACAGTCTTGAATTTCTACGGAAAATAAAATACAAAAACTTTTAATTAAAAATTAAACGAGAGGGGACATCCGTCTTAAAGAATTTTCCGATAAGTCTTGCCATTTTCCAGCTACAGCTTTTACAGAGTCAAATTTAGAAATATTGCGTTCACGAACATGGTCGCGGTTGAAAATTCATAGCTCAGGAGTTCCACGTCCTATACTTACCAAATAGGGCTCGTTCGAAGCCCAATGAACGTGGCAAGTTTTTAACTTAAACAGTTTTGAATTCTGATGTTTCTGGTCTGCGCGTGTAGAGTCTAAATGCGCCCACCTGGTAGATTTCTTTTCAGAGTTATAGCTGTCGAAAGTTTTGGCCAGGTGTTATCTTTGAAATCGAGAATTAAAAGTTAAGGGGAGCATATCTCGCAAAGTATTGGAGATATTGCAAAAATTCTTTCACCAACGGTTGACCCTCACCGTCGCGAACAGGAAAAACTGGAAGACGGGGCATCCGCCTGTGAAAGAATTTTTCCGATAGGTCCTACCGTTTTCCAGCCACAACTCGTGAAACGTCAAACTCAGAAGCTGCGCGCTTGCGAACATGGCCGCGGTTAAATATCCATAGCTCCTCAGACGTACGTCTGATCCGTACCAAAATGGGCTCGTTCGAAGCCCAATGAATGCGGCAAGTTTTCGACGGAAGCAGTTTTAAATTGTGACACTCCTGGTCCGCGCTAGAGCCGACCCAATTCGCGCAATTTCCTTTTTGTTCGTTTTAGTGTTTTCCTGAAGCCACATGATGGCCCTTATTTCCGGACTGTGTGGTCCGATCTTTATGGGAGTATTATCAAAATTTTCTAGAGATACTGGGCTCTGCGTGAAGGGCAAAAGCGCCCACCTACGAGTTTGCGTTTTGGAGTTATGGCTGTCGGAAGTTTCAGCCAAGTGTTATTTTCGAAATCAATGATTAAATGTTTAGGAGAACATATCTGGCGAACTATTAAAGATAGCGCAAAAATTCTTTCACCAGCGGTAGGCCCGTACCTAAGTGTACAGGAAAAATTTAATTTCTAAGAAAAAAAATTTAAAAATTTTCGCATACGGCTCATATCGTTCGCGCTGAGATGGGGCATCCGTCTGTGAAAGAATTTTTCCGATAGGCCCTACCATTTTCCAGCTACAGCTCGAAAAACGTCAAACTTAGGAGATGTGCGCTCGCGAACATGGCCGCGGTTAAAAATCTATAGCTCCGCAGAGGTACGTCCGATCCGTTCCAGACACGGCTCGTTCGAAGACCAGTAAATGAGGCAAGTTTTCGACGGAAGCAGTTTTCTATCGTGACACTCCTGGTCTGCGTCAGAGTCGACCCAATCCGCGGAATTTGCTTTTTGTTCGTTTTAGCGTGTTCCTGAGGTCACAGGATGGCCCTTATTCCCGGACTGAGTTGTCCGATCTGTATGGGAGTGTTATCAAAATTTTTTAGAGATACTGCTCTCTTCGTCAAGTGCCCAGCTACGAGGTTCCGTTTTGGAGTTACGACTGTCGGATGTTTTAGCCAAGTTTACTTTCGAAATCGAGGAGTAAATGTTTAGGAGAACATATCTGGCGAACCAATAAAGATAGCGCAGAAACTTTTTCACCAACGGTTGGTCCGTACCCAAGTGCACAGGAATAATTTAATTTGGAAAACAGTTTTAAATTCAATTCGTACAATTTGCGCTATCGTTCGTTTTAGAGTTTTTCTGAGTCCACAAGATGGCTCATATTTTGGGACTGAGTGGTCGAATTCGATGGATGTATCATCAAAATTTTCTAGAGAAACTGTCCACTGCGTCTAAATTGAAAATGCTCATAATGTAGCTATGATTTAGACAATAAAAATGTAATGCGAAACCCAGGGAAAAAACATTTTTATATGTGTGTGTATATGATATAGATAGATAGTATGTATATCATGGCAGGATTCGTGGCGCCTAACGAAATACTTGTGTTAGTCATGTTTGTGTATCTAAAACCAGTTAAAGAGACATTAAGTTGAGTGTACATTACCGATTTACCTACTTTGTGTATNATCACGATTTTTAAAAGACAGCTAGGATGGAGACAAGCCCGCCGTCGTCTTCCTACGAGATGGTGTTTCAGGGTATTCGTTGTCGAAAGTTTTGGTGCCGTCTTATAATGGGAATCGAGGTCAATACAATTAGGAGGTCATTATCTGGCGAATTATTAAAAATAACCCAAATTTGTTTTCTCCAGCAGTTGACCCGTGCAATTGTGAAGGAAAGAAATATACAAAATCTTTTAAATTTTAGACATGAATAGGGAAGGACTTATTAGAAGTGGAAACATGGGTAGAAGTAGGCCTAAGTTCAGATTGCGGTCAGTAAATACAGAAATGCGTAGATTAGGTCAAGATAAGGTGTTGTGTACTTTTAATTAGTAGTTAATTCAAAAAAAAAAAAATTGAAACTATTTATAATGGAAAAAATTCGTATAATTTGGAACAAGCCAATAACCAGTGCTATTGTTTTCTATGTCTTTCATAAATAACTGTATAATGTATTCTTCAAAATGTCTTTTAACACTCAATATCTGTCTTCGAGGATTCGTATTTATAGATTTCGTCTGCTCGCTTGTCACAGAATCGCATTATGTAAGAAAATGTGTTTTGCTATATATTATGTATTTATTCATGTACATATTATTGAACCAAAAAGTTACATCACAGTAACAACAGTTTGTGAAGAAAAAATGTTATTTTGTAATTTGTGAACTAATTATTTAATTAACAGTGTCTGTAGGATTTGATCACTGCACTACTATATTTTATGTGATTAAAGACACTTAGTTGCCTGTATTATATCTACAGGGTGTTCCAAAATCTTCAAAGATATAGAAACCATTTTCTATGCCACTCTAACCTAACTCTAACCCCAAATTACCACTAAAACTTTTTACAGCGGGCGCTTGTTTCAATCACTTTGTTTGGTCAAGTATTCTTTACGATTGTTTTTTCTAACGTAAATTTTACCTGTAGGTTACATGTTTATCCCATCAGTCGAAAATCAATTAGTCATCTGTAACACCAGGACAAATACAATTTAGTATCGTCCGTTTTTCTCGTAAGGGAAATGGTAATTAAGGATTGCTAGACATATCATTCATTGGACGTGTAGAGTGTGTTTTCTGAGGCATAATACAAACACTTTGACGCTATTGGCAATGTTACTTTATGTATTAGCTGTTGTTGGCAGAAGGCCAAGATGTTTTTCGGTAATGTGTAAGAATTGTATCACACAACAATAGCATGTAAATAAGTGTGTACTTGTGTAGGAAGATACAGGTACAAAACAAACGGTACCATGAAAGGGAAACATTCCATTCCTTCAATTAAATGTTTTAAGTGAAATTACGGCGGTCAAGTTAGCTAAAAGGATTTTTTTTAATTAATAAGTAACAATATATGTTTTAGATATACTTAGCAGTTAACACAAAACCCTTTTTCACTTTATTTCAATTAAAAGTGACTAGTTCATGAATTTCGACTTAAGGATATAGGTACTCCAATACTAATAAAATTGAAAGTACCTCCTTACAGAAACCTTACAAGGTTTTTTCCAGATTTCTAGACATTTATGTGCAGAAATAATAGAGCAAACAGTTTTGAATTGCAATTTGTAGGAGTGAGGGGTGAGGTTTAGTAATAGGGAATTCTGCTTTATCATGCAGTAGTGCATCTATATTTATTAATTTCCATATTTTCCAGGAGATTAAGCTCATACAGTTGTTATTTTTAATATGTAAAATTGTAAATTCAGACTTTAAAGTATGTTTTTCCGCAATTAGTTGCGATGCGAAATTAAAATCGTCAAATGATACCAACGTAAGGGTGCATGCACTACATTTTCTGGACATTGTGAGATTGTTTGATAAAGTCGAGCACAAGGGGTTGTTAATACATAAATTGAAGTGCGCTGAAATTCCATCCGGTTCAATAAAAATCATTCATTTCTACAAGACGGATACTTCGTGGTTAGGGTAGCAGAAGCTCAATCGATGCAACGATCAATACATGCAGGTGTTCCTCAAGGCTCAGTTATGGGTCCCATGCTCTACAACCCATACAACATGACCTTGCGCACACACATACAATTGTTTGGGAAAAACATGTCAGTTAAAAGCTTTAGTATTTTCTATCACTTAAAAAAAAAAAAAACAAAAAAAAAGAAACAATCTCTGCATCTGTGCCAAAGCTGTTAGTCAGTGTGGCAAACAGGTAGGTAGGTGTCTTAAAAAATAAATTTAAGAGATATTTGGAATGAAATATTTACGTCACAAGTGAGTCATGCTTGTAGCCCTTTATAGGAATCGGGCAACGATAGCAAATCTTCTGTTGTCTATTATGTATCTACTGCTAATAACCACTCTGACATCCATGTGGCACTGACCGAATTGGCCATATGCCTAACAAAATGACACAAACGTGTAAAGCAATAAATTTACTTAATTCATGATATAAAGTCCGAATAAAAAATCGAAATTGTTTCTGCTCATCTGAATGAAATTCTTTTATTATTATTGTTATGAGTACATTAACACACTATAATTTACTTTTTTTAACATCATCAGAAAACAACCATCATATACAGGATGTATCATACCAAATATACAAATTAATTATAGTGTAACATCCATTAGTATCTAGTGGAAAAAGATGTTAGATTGTATTTATCATAAGCGGATTTAATGATTTGGTAGAATTCAAAATGAATTTCTAAATCACGAGGGTCATCACTCACTCCTCAGTAATGAATGAACGAAAGTGATTTCGTTTCTATTTGATAAACAGCCTCAATGATGTCCATATTTGGACCTAAAATACGTATTGTGGAAGAACATTTCTCGTTTTTATAAAGACATCTATAAAATAATAATCTTCTAACCAGTGGAATATGGCAAACATCTGTTGGGATATTTCAAGACACCACCGTGTGTGGTATAAACTCGGAGTGGGTAGAAAGTAAAGTTTGTCTTCATTCTTCAGATGAACGTGAATTTTTATCCTCGCGTGGTTGACGCTTGTTTTCTGTGCCCATCAAGATTCTGTTTTTTTGTGTGTGAAGATTTTCTGGTAAGTACAATTAAGCATTATTTAAATTTTTAAGATGATTTCGTTTTTAAACAATTTCACGTTTAAAAGAAAATGCGGAATTTCGGAAATTGTCAGGGCTATATTGTATTACAAAAGACTGACAAAAACAACTGAATATCTGGCAGACTATCCTACAACATTAGAATAGGTGTCTTGGAGTTTTGGAAACCTTTCAAGAAACATGTACGGAAGCTTCTTGCGGGGTATATGTTGTGTAATTTTAATTTTGAACTACGGTATTATTATTATTAAGTTACTCAAAAGGTTATCATATAATTCTTTAACGTAGGCTGTTAATAAATATAATGGTGATATTATTACCTATACAACTAAATCTACAGACAGAGAGACAGATAAATCACTTTATAATTTATTACAGAACTATTAGCATTGACCGACGACTTCGTATTCATGAAACTTTTTCTAATTGATTTTAATAAATACAATTATAAACAATGGGTAAACTTGAGTTGGTTTGAACAAAAAATAAATAAATAATTAATTGTTCAAGATACATCAGCAAAATTTGATTTGACGAAGCTGTTAAAACTTAGCAGTAAAATAAAATAGACGTCAAATATTAAAAATCAAAAAAGAAGTTTATCATTTTTAATGAATTTTGACGGTCGTTTTTGAATGGATTTTTAATATTATAACACTTTCTTTCACTGCTAATTTGTCAAATGTATTAGTTACAGTTACTTCTGATACTCCTTAATGTCATTTAATTAACCATGAATAAGGATGCAAGGTCCTATGTTTTTGTCTATCATTTTTTAAAATGCCTCGAAACCAAATGTAAATTTTTGCGGCTCAGTAAAATTATTTGCCTCGTGTTTTCGGCGCATGCTGATATTATTGGACACCTCTTCGTTCTTTGTTCGCACCATTTAAGCCCTTTCGACGTTTCGAAATTTCAAAAATTTCACGACAAAGTACCCGGTGGCGCTGTATAATTATGGCAATCGCCTTCTCTCTCCCTCGCTTTAGGTTTTTGAGAGCCTACAAGCCACTGTTGCCAAGCGAAAAATTAATAAATAATACTTAAGGCGTATGAGACTTTATTTTAATTACATTTTCTATGGTTCATTTATCATATAATACTCAAAGAAAAAATAAAAAAAATTGCAAAAATTCATTTTCAAAAAAAAAATAATAATAAATAAATCATACAAACTTAATAAGTAATAATCAACTAAATTATCTCTTCATTTTGTTTGAATAAGAAACAGATACAGATACTTTCAATATTGATGAAGCCAATAAATTATACTAATAACATTTTTAATGCGCTAGTTACTTGGCTATAGGTACTTTTGGCACAATACTGAAATTTCCAAAAAATACTACAGGCGAGTACAATTTTAATAGTGCTGGATAAATATATAACGTTTGTCCTAAGTGGTTTTATATGAACTGTACGGTGAGAAAAAGTTAAAAATAGCCTTAATGTGTCTATCTTAAGTATCAATACGATATTTTGGCTGTACTCGACAATATTGTCATTATTAGATATAAAGCTATTTAATGGGCAGTTTTGTGACCGAATTAATTACGAATACTTACTGGGTAATTGATAAAAACTGTTTTAAAATTAAAATAGCGGTTCATCGATTACAACTGATTAGGTATTATCGAAATTTTGATTGAATTTACAAAACTGTAATATTTAGTAAAACTTGCGCTCTTTTTCAAGTTTTTATCATTGAAATATCTTGATCGTTCATAATTGAAAAAATAAGATTAATAAAAAATTAATTAATATACAGTAAAATCACAAATAAATTATGCTAGACGTCCGCATAGTGTGAACAATTTAAACTATCGGTTATTGAAACGAATTTCCATTAATTTCAATTGTTGTAATGTATTTGGTACTTCCCCACGTTTTGCAAAGACCTAAACCGTCGAATACTGTTTCATTATACTTAGATAGAGCTGCACTAACCTTATGGACAGAAGGTAGTGACGTCATAATCTGCCTGAAGGTTATAAAAAGACTAAAACAGAAGTCCATTCTGTAAAAAAATTAAAATCTTGAGAAACAAACGAAATTTTTGATAACTGATAAGCAAAAAAAAAGATATTACATTAATCGAGACTAGTGTATTTTGGTTTGCTGCGGCAACGTAGATAGAAGGTAGTAAGTGCGTGTGCCGCACGCCTCCTACTATGCGATTCGGGCGGCTGCCTTATTTGGACGACGCGTAGCGTCTGCGTCGCGACGCCAGCTCGCCATACATGGGCCCTACACGTTATTTTGAGTTACCGACGCCAAGACTATATAATCTACGGGCGGTAGCTGTGAGCGGTCACTCGCAGTGCGTTAGCGTTAGCAGTCCCTTTATTTCATTCGAACGAGGTTGGTATTTTTAAAACTATTAATTAATAATTAGTAGGGTTCAATCATTACGTCAAACCAGCGAAAAGAAAAAACATCGGTGTTTACCCATTTATCCGTTCGTTTTCGTGGTGTTGTGTTACACGGCGCAAACGTAGTTGGTTTGTTTAGTGAATTTAAGTTCAAATTTGTCGGTGCGGCTAAAATCATACGTCAGTAATCAACCCTCTGTGATTTAATTGGATCCTGTGGTAACTTAAACCACTCTTAAGCCTTGCTTAGCTGGGAAGAAGTTAATACGGATCTTTACATATTAATTTATTAAAAATATTTTGGAGGCGCTCGGAGCTTCAAATTTAAAAGTGACCAAAGTTACAATACATAATTATTTTTCGAAAAGCTTTTACCTAAACTCTAGACGTTTAAGTGAACAGTAGATATTTACGTAAATTTTCCGGTAACCGTTCTAAAAATAAAGAAAAATCCATCGGCACAAGATAATGAGTAGTTATTTTAAGAAGTTTTCTCTTTTTGATACTGTTCCAAGCAAGTCTGACGTAACCGAATTCTTTAAAATTTGTTCTGTAAAATTCTTTTGGATCAGTTATTTTAGTCAGTACTCGTTACATAATAGTTGAATTTTCCAAGTTATTTTCTAAAGTTTATAAATATGTTCGAAATAATTAAACCTTAACAGAAAATAATAGTAAATTTGATAAAAACTTGACGGTTAGGAGTTCGGTTAAGTATTTCCTGAATAATACGATTAAAAATTACGCCAGAAAACATGTTCAGTTTTGATAATCAAAAACTAACATTCATACAACTGCTTTGACAATTTTCGTAATTCATCGTATTGTTCTCTAAAAGTATCCCCTTTGAAGAGCTTTTCCAATAAGTGACAAAGTACATTAAAATTTTCACACAAAATTCTCATTAAAATTTCCTGGAAAATGGTTTTTGTATCCATTTTCCATCCTAAACATTCCCTTTAGAAACTAAATTGTCCAGATGGAATTAAAACCAAAACGCTTATCAGGATTTCTCTTCAACTTTCAGGAGGGGATTACAAGAGTTTTTATTCTATTTATAGTAGAAATTGATTTTCGAATATCCAATTTCCTTTTCAGTAAAATAACACACTATCAGCCATGTGTGACGATGATGTTGCTGCGTTGGTCGTAGACAATGGATCCGGTATGTGCAAAGCCGGATTCGCCGGAGACGACGCCCCAAGGGCCGTCTTCCCCTCGATCGTAGGTCGCCCCAGGCATCAGGGTGTGATGGTCGGTATGGGTCAGAAGGACTCGTATGTAGGTGATGAAGCCCAGAGCAAAAGAGGTATCCTCACCCTGAAATACCCCATTGAACACGGTATCATTACCAACTGGGACGACATGGAAAAGATCTGGCATCACACCTTCTACAATGAATTGCGTGTTGCACCTGAGGAACATCCAGTCCTCTTGACCGAGGCTCCTCTCAATCCCAAAGCCAATCGTGAAAAGATGACCCAAATCATGTTCGAAACCTTCAACACCCCAGCCATGTACGTCGCCATCCAGGCCGTACTCTCCCTTTACGCTTCCGGTCGTACCACCGGTATCGTCTTGGACTCTGGAGATGGTGTATCCCACACAGTACCCATCTATGAAGGTTACGCTTTGCCCCATGCCATCCTCCGTTTGGACTTGGCTGGCCGTGACTTGACCGACTACTTGATGAAAATCTTGACCGAAAGAGGCTACTCCTTCACAACCACCGCTGAAAGAGAAATCGTTAGGGACATCAAGGAAAAACTTTGCTATGTTGCTTTGGACTTCGAACAAGAAATGGCCACCGCCGCTGCCTCGACCTCTTTGGAGAAGAGCTACGAATTGCCTGATGGACAGGTCATCACCATTGGTAACGAAAGATTCCGTTGCCCTGAAGCTCTCTTCCAACCTTCCTTCTTGGGTATGGAATCCTGCGGTATCCACGAAACCGTCTACAACTCCATCATGAAGTGCGACGTCGACATCCGTAAGGACTTGTACGCCAACACTGTACTCTCTGGTGGTACCACAATGTACCCTGGTGAGTAAAACTGAAAGAACATCTTCTCCATTTGAGCTAGGTGGAGGATTATTTAGAACAGAAGGTTAAACGTGTCTCTTCTACTTTTAGGTATTGCTGACCGTATGCAAAAGGAAATCACCGCTCTTGCTCCATCCACCATCAAGATCAAGATTATCGCACCCCCAGAAAGGAAATACTCCGTATGGATCGGTGGATCTATCTTGGCTTCTCTCTCCACTTTCCAACAGATGTGGATCTCGAAGCAAGAATACGACGAATCCGGCCCTGGAATTGTCCACCGCAAGTGCTTCTAAACAGTACCGGGACTGTTCATTATTTATTATCATCACTACTGTTGTATTATTACTTTACCAACTGTATCATTATTATCCATCAGCAAAAAAAAAAAAGAAAACAACAACACTGCGACGGTGGTTGCACTGCCAAATAGACTGTTCGAAATTAGGTGACGACAAATTCCAACTTGTACATGAACATCTTGTAATGAAATTATTCGTTCACACTTTGTATTTTAATTATAATTTATTTACTTAATATTAATGAAATAAACATCACTACTATTAATAAATATAATTTTTGTTACTGTTAACAATCCCGTGTCTTATTTATTTTATAGTCATCTTCAGTATTGAAATTGAAAATATTAAAAAAAAATGAATTAAATTTATATTAAAATAATTAACTTTATGACATTTTAAATTTATTAATTTCGACATAAAAACCTATATAATTTATAAAACAATTTTGTTAGCCAATTATAAAAATTCGTACAAGTCATAGCTTTGAGTTTGACTATTTCAAATACCTTCCGTCCTAGCGCTGATGATCTCACAAGGAGCTTTTTACATTCAAGGACTGCGCAGCTCAGTTCCTCAGTAGATCGTGTTAAGAATGTATGTCTTGCTGACGGCTATTTCAAAATCGGTGTGATTTCATGGAAATTCAACGTTTTTGCGTCAATTACAGTTATTTCAAAATGTTGGATTATCAGTTCCATTAAAGTTGAAGCAACTGCACCATTATAATGTCACATCTTTGGTGTTCCTGCATTGTCTTTTGGTCATTCCTTTTATCTATTCATTTAAAATGGTTTTTGTTACTCATTTTATTATTTGTTTGTTTCAAATGGTCTATTTTGTATGTAAAATAATTGAAATAAAAGATCGAGGCGTTTACACAAACAAATACTCTTTGGATTAGTAGTTAATTTTTGTTTTGAAATTCGAGTTTTTCCACTGTGTCATAGACTTCAGTGCCTAAAATAATCTTTTCAAACTTTAGATTGACAAAAAATTAAAGAATTTGCCATTGGATTCAAATTTGTTTATGAGAATCAATTTATGTTATTATTAATAATTATGTGTATAAAATTGCAGGAAGTTTTACAATAACATTATCATCATTATTGATAGAAACAGGATGACTTGGCATGACTTTTAATTAATTGAATATTAATTAAAAAATTATTTTGATGCTTACCACAATATAATTGAAATCTCTGATAGTTGTAATTATTTTTAATTAGATAAATCAAGCTTGAAATACAAAAGTGAAAAATTGAACATTTTACCTTAGACTTTTTACTTTACTTTACCTTCTTAACCCACTTTACCTACCTTCCCTACCAATACTTTTCCAAGCGCCCAATCGTCCCAATCCCCATCCGAATTAAATATTTCGTGATAACATCAGGATAATAAATGACATCTTGGTTAATGTTTCAAGCTCTAAAGTGATTTTTATTAAAGAATGTAAAATAATTGTAAATTGCGAAAATTTTTGCAGTCCTTTTGCAATAATTTTAAAAATCTTTCAAGCAATTTGGTAATTAAAATTTGGAAAATTAATGAACTGTAATGGTTGTATCGGCAACAAAACTTAAATTGAATTAAAGCTTCAATGCATAGGTATACCTACTGTAATGAACTGAAATCTTCTTTGTTCGACGATTCAGATTTTCACATTGGGCTTGAAATAAATAATCTCCGTCCCTGTAGACTAGCAAGTTAACAATTTCTATAAATTTATAAGCATTTTAAGAACATTATTTTACACATATTGTGTGTTCGTATCATTATTAATGTTAAGTATCAGTTAAAGAAAGAAAAACATAAAATTATTTCTTTTTTGTTTTCAGTTACTACTTCAGTACTAATAGAGAGCTGTATTTTTGAACTGTGGAATCCTTATCGGGCGTATGTTTGGCTCAATAATTTCTGGTGAGTGATAATTGACTGGTATGAGTAACTGTTACATGTGATTAGGCCTTCATTTTTTGGGGAAAAGCTGAGACGCTCGATTAAGCAGTGAAACTTTGGTTTGTTTAGTTAAATTAGCATTTAGCAGGGATGTTATGAACATGAAATTTCGAATCTGGATATGGATACGGATATATGAATAATATTTTACCGGTTTCAATACGATTACGGGTATGAAATGTAAAACGAAAATAATAATATGTAGTTAATTATTTGACTTTATTTTTGGATTATCATATGGAATTACAATCATAACAAAAAAAAAGAGTGATTATTATAGTTGCTTTGTGATTTTTATTTAGGATATCCGATAGTTTCAGTTACAGTTATGGAGCTTCATAATACCCCTAGTATTTACTTATATTCCTATATTACAATATATATATTATCTGTTGGTAAAGTAAATCTTGCTGTTTTCCTTCGTGACTTAAAATGTAGTCGAAAGTACAGATTAGGTACTACAGAATAAAGCAAAAAGCTCAAAAAAGATTTACTTTGCTGCACATCGACGTCTGTCCTTTTTAGAGAAATTGAGAAAAATTCGGTGTATGTATTTTCGTGCATCATGATGCAAAACTTTTTTTTTAATTTTACCAGGACGTACACTGCAAACCCAAGTATGTGATTACGTGTGTGAATTTCATACATCACACAGATGTTTGGTGTGTGACTAAAATTTGGTGTTTGTAACATATATAAATTTTGATATGTATGAATTTCACACATTTTATGTATTTCATTACGGTCAAATACTAAATTTGTGTGTGGAAAAATCAAACATCAAATTAAAATACATTTGAAGGTTTTGAAAATCATTTAGATTTCAGCAGTTCACACATTTAGTTTAAAATCTTTCTAAAAAAAAATCAGATATGAAAATATTCAAGTCAAAAAGAACAGTGCAGTGCAAAAATTTCCTTTTCAAAAAAATCAATACTTAAGCAAAAGAACAATTNTCCAAATTAAATATGTGAAATTACACATTTATCCAAAGAACGAAGAAGAATGCCATACAGAACAAAAGAAAGTTGCAATTCTTAATATTTTTGATGGTTTACGTTTATCCTAAATTTTATTGCAATAATAAGAAAAACCTTATCGCTTCGGAAATCAACGAACTTCAAAATATTTGTCGTTATTCCTTGTTTATTACAATTTCTTTTTTGACATACCTACTAAAAAAATATGCTTTACTATAAACAAATCTTAATATTAAGAAAATAAAACACTTGGTATTTTTGTCCCACAATTTTTATTTAAAACTGACAATTGTTTCGGCATTATAAAAGTGAATGTATAAAATATTTTGCATGGTATTTATAAGGGGGTTGAAAAGTATTGCAATTCATACAAACTTAAATACTATTATCATATATTTCGGTACAACTTTTGAATTTAAACATTTATTGTTGAACCAAATATGATTGTTACACATTTTTGACTTAGTAATACACTTCTTATAGTAAACAGCCAGTTCAGCTTTACTTGTATCTAATATTAACGAAATTGATTTCAATTAAGAAAATAAAACAGTTGGTATTTTTTTGTTCTTAATATTAAATATGTTCCACCAATAGTCAAGCCAGAAATCAATTTCGTTAACAAATTTTAAGTTAAACATTAAACAAATAAATAAGCAACAAATAAATTACACGCACCTATGTATTAGGATTGTTAATTATGGGTGTGTAATTAAAACACAATAATAATTTACAGCAACTTACGATTTCCTTCTTCTATATTTTCAGGAAAAGTAATATGAACCAAGACTAAACACAAATAAACCGGAATTGGAGGACCTGTTTGAAATTTGAACAATTTTGGATAGTCACAACATGCAAAAGATAAGTACAATTTTTTGATTTTTTATATCTATTTATATGCCTATATAGGTAGATGGTGAAGTTATTTGTGCGGTCTGTACTACATAAAACATGAAACCTTTCCTTTGCGAACAGGAATTATTAAACAATTTTCAGTTTCAGTACCTATAAGTTTGTCTATGTAATGAATGATTCCTAAAATTCATTTAGAAAAAAAAAACGTTATTTAAAATAACAACAATAATTTTAGTTTTCAAATTTTGACGATTAAAAGTTTATACATACATATTATCAGTTAAAGNTTCGAATAATTTAGAAAAGCTGCCTTGTTTGATTGCAAATTTTAAAATGCCTACTTTTATAAGATACACTACTATAAGTGTATAGTATTTGGAACTTAAGAAAATGTTCAATTTATATCCAAAATGATATCTGAAAAAACAGTCTTATTAATTTATTTCAATATTTTGTTTTATAATAATTCACACATTGAGATGAACTTTGTTACTAAAAAAACAAACATCAAGTACCTTTTTTACATTTTAATTAGCCGCAATACAGCTTCTAAAGCCATTGCATTCAAAATTCGATAGCACATTATATTATCATTTAAAACTGCTAATATAATCTATTTACTAACTTAATTTCCTTACATCTATCTGTTTTGGGTAACAACCATCCCATCACAAAATTACTTAAATAGAAAATACACTTTCAAAGTAGAGTACCTACCTAATTATAGTTTAATTATTTCATTGCACATCTTAGATTGAAAGCGTATTTGTTATTTGATTAATTTTGTCACTCTATCAGAAATTGGGTCCAGCTGATTTCTAAGAAGCTAAAGAAGGATTTGTGTCTGTAACAGTAAGAAATCAACTCCCCATCAATTTTCGAAATTCAGGAATTTACCTTCACATTAGTAACAACTCTTTTTATAAAAGCTTTTAAAATTCACTTATTAAATAAATTTTGGATAAGTTACTAAATTTTAGAAAGAAGTGGATCCAGATCCTGCCAGTTTGCCACCGTCGTATTTATGGAGATAATTTGAAGGAANGTGTGAAGTGGGCGAAACACGTGTCCGCTCATATAAAATTATTTGTGGTAATTAGGGGTGAGTATTCCTTTTAATTTTTTAATTAATATTTACCACAGTCTCCTCCTTCTATTTTTTTACATGTGTTTTATTCATCGTAGAAATACTATCTATTGTTGATATATTCCAAATTAAATATGTGAAATTACACATTTATCCAAAGAACGAAGAAGAATGCCATACAGAACAAAAGAAAGTTGCAATTCTTAATATTTTTGATGGTTTACGTTTATCCTAAATTTTATTGCAATAATAAGAAAAACCTTATCGCTTCGGAAATCAACGAACTTCAAAATATTTGTCGTTATTCCTTGTTTATTACAATTTCTTTTTTGACATACCTACTAAAAAAATATGCTTTACTATAAACAAATCTTAATATTAAGAAAATAAAACACTTGGTATTTTTGTCCCACAATTTTTATTTAAAACTGACAATTGTTTCGGCATTATAAAAGTGAATGTATAAAATATTTTGCATGGTATTTATAAGGGGGTTGAAAAGTATTGCAATTCATACAAACTTAAATACTATTATCATATATTTCGGTACAACTTTTGAATTTAAACATTTATTGTTGAACCAAATATGATTGTTACACATTTTTGACTTAGTAATACACTTCTTATAGTAAACAGCCAGTTCAGCTTTACTTGTATCTAATATTAACGAAATTGATTTCAATTAAGAAAATAAAACAGTTGGTATTTTTTTGTTCTTAATATTAAATATGTTCCACCAATAGTCAAGCCAGAAATCAATTTCGTTAACAAATTTTAAGTTAAACATTAAACAAATAAATAAGCAACAAACAAATTACACGCACCTATGTATTAGGATTGTTAATTATGGGTGTGTAATTAAAACACAATAATAATTTACAGCAACTTACGATTTCCTTCTTCTATATTTTCAGGAAAAGTAATATGAACCAAGACTAAACACAAATAAACCGGAATTGGAGGACCTGTTTGAAATTTGAACAATTTTGGATAGTCACAACATGCAAAAGATAAGTACAATTTTTTGATTTTTTATATCTATTTATATGCCTATATAGGTAGATGGTGAAGTTATTTGTGCGGTCTGTACTACATAAAACATGAAACCTTTCCTTTGCGAACAGGAATTATTAAACAATTTTCAGTTTCAGTACCTATAAGTTTGTCTATGTAATGAATGATTCCTAAAATTCATTTAGAAAAAAAAAACGTTATTTAAAATAACAACAATAATTTTAGTTTTCAAATTTTGACGATTAAAAGTTTATACATACATATTATCAGTTAAAG